CAGGCAACAGCTCCGTCACCTGTTCCCTTCCTCCTCTCACACAATCCGAAGACCCGATGGCCAATCCCTAAGTGGCCATTCTGGGGTTTCTCCCCGCTTGAAGCCATAATCTGGGGGCCACGGATGGCCATCCGTGGGCCCAGGAGCCCTCTATGCCTACATGCAAACCGTGTGCTTTCTTTCTTTCTTTTTTAAAGAGATGGTCAATAGTTTTCCTGGATTTTCAAAGAGATCATGTCTCCCTCCCTCCCCGCCTCAAAAAAATAAAAGTTAAGAGTCAGGACTTTCGGCTCCGTGAACCGGAGTTTCTCCGACATCTTTACCTCGGTCCCGCACGCACGCAGTGTCCGTCCCACCCCCGTCGTCAGTCAGCTGTCCTTTCCGTTCACCCCGCCCCCTGACGCACGCCTACACGCAAGCACCCCACACGCACGCGCCCCGCGTACGCGCTGCCCTTCTCCAGGCACACCTCCACACACACCCTTGCAGGTCGCGAAACGCGCGCGTCTCTCACGCCCCTCCCCACCCACTCACGGCCGCACGCAGGCGCCTCCCCACAGAGGCACCCCCGCACACCCCGCCACACGTGCGCATCGCCCTCTTCTAGCTGGGGCTCCTAGGGGGCTGTGGGGCTGGCCACCCCCGCCCAGCATCTAGGGCAGCGCGCGGCGAGTTCCCCACCCGGGAGCTCCGCTCAGCCCGCGATAGCCCTGTCGGCTCGTCTAACTGGGCCGCCACTTCCCTCCTCACATCCCAGGAGACACTGTGCGGGGTGTGGCACCTCCCATGCTGGGCCACCGGAGCCTTCAGATGACTGGAAAGCCGGCCGCTCAGGCTGCAGGAACCTCCTAGATATCCTGTCTCTCTGAAAGTGGGGGGAGGGGAGGGAGCATTTCTCATCCCCTGGGAAAAGCGCTCACCTGGTTCCCAAAGCCAGTTAGCCCTTCCTCTATTTCCTGCCAGAGGAAAGGGACACGGAGAGAAAGCCAAGGTCTTTGGGGCGGGGAAGGGGAAATGAGTCAGAGAAGAGGCGGCTCAGAGGGAGGGGCTGTCCTGGAAATGGGGGGGGGGGGGGCCCCCCCGGGGGGCGGGAGGGAAAGGGGATGAAAAAAGAAAGGGAAAATTGTTGCACAGTCCTGGGACTACTTCCTGGTCAACCCCAAATCCTGGAGCCACTGGGCGGGATCATTTCTGAGGTGCTGGGCATTAAACTCGTTTTACCCCGTGCCCAAGGTAGCTAAGGCCAAGACCCGTGCTAGCAGCTCACGAGGCACCACCACCAGGGATTAACTCTTCATGTTCTATGGAGCCAATAATAGTCTTTACCTTTTAGGATTGCTGGAAGGATTAAATTAGTTACTACATTTCAAGTGCTTAGAATAGTGTCAAGGACACTGTAAGCAGTCAGTGATAGCTCCTATTACAAGATTCATTCATCGATGGTCTGTCACCCCTCTAGATAATGAGTTCTATGAGGGCACAGACTATGTGTTACGGTCATCACTGAACTCCAACACCTGACAAAGAGTCTATCAGTAAATTATTTGTCGAATGAATGAATAAATGAGTAATTGCATGATAAATGCCAAGACCCTCTCTCTTCCATGTAAAGAGTGTATTTGTGGAAGTTTGAGGAAGAAAGGCTGTGATTGGTGACCCATAGGACCCCTGTTGGTTTATGTATCAAATGAACTATTCTGCCCTTAGAAAATGTAATGTCTTTGGCAACTTCCTACGTGGACATATGGAAATCTATCAGGCAGCTGACCTGAAATTTGAAACTGAGACCTGACTAGCTAGAGCAGTATCTGTATTTTGTACAGTTAGTGAACAAATCAAGAGAAGAGGGCTGAAGTGGAAAACTAAAAAATAATGGTGGCAAATGTAAGTGGGGGAGATTGGCATGGGAGCTCTGAGTGAACAGAAGTGTGTAAAGAGGAGTATAGTCCTCTCAAGAGAGAGTCTGTTGGAGGTCCCAAAGTAACTGTAATGTTATCCACCTTTCTGTTCTAGTCATAGGGTTCCTGATGATCTGCCCTGATGTCCCAACATTCTTGGGGTTGGTATGCAGATTAGGTTCCTACCACTACATTCAGTAAATTTGCGTTTTTGGAAATGCATAGTGTTAGAGCTAAAAGCGACTGTAGAAATTACTCATACATTTCAATTTGTGGTTGAAAAACAAAGAGCCAGAGATAGCAAAGGACTTGGGTTTGGGGATTCTCTGGCCTTGGTACTGAATTTTGCAGGGTCTGAATTCGTTGTGTGTCCCGTTATTCCTTTAATTTTTTACCCATACTCCATCCGAACCCCAAAGACACAGAGGAGAATGAAAGGACATGAATGGAAGGTCAGTAGAAAGGAGAGAGAGAGTTCCTTAACAGACTCTGACTTTGATTCCTTTTGCTTCCCCCCAAGGAAGGTACCTGGGTGTTCAGCTAGCTGCTAGAGAGGAACAGCTCCACCATGGAAGCCTCACACTCTCCACATAGGTCCCGCAGGCAAAGGCTTAAACCATAACTAATCTGAGTCTTGGCAGAACACCTGTTATATTCCCAGAATGCTAGAGGATGGGAGGTCTGCAAGGAAGTGCTTCAAGGCCACTGCTACTTACCTCCCACTGCCTCCTTATCCCCCCCAACTCCCCTGGGGGGCTGTCAAGAGAATTTTTCATCCCTTCCCACCTCCTGGGATCTGATGAGATAAGAGTCTTCCTGACTCATCCCTCTCAGAATAGAGCTACATACTATAAAGCCACTTAGCTGAAGTCTAAAATTGGCTTCTTAGCAAGGGGATGTCCAATGACTACCGTTGCAGTCCTCTGGCCCCTTTTATTTATTTATTTATTTATTTTATTTTTTTTTAACGTTTATTTATTTTTGGGACAGAGAGAGACAGAGCATGAACGGGGGAGGGGCAGAGAGAGGGGGAGACACAGAATGGAAGCAGGCTCCAGGCTCTGAGCCATCAGCCCAGAGCCTGACGCGGGGCTCGAACTCACGGACCGCGAGATCGTGACCTGGCTGAAGTCGGACGCTTAACCGACTGCACCACCCAGGCGCCCCTCTGGCCCCTTTTACAGTGTCTTCCTTCCACTAGGAGCAGGAACCTTTGCTGTTTCTTTCATTGTATAAATAATAAACTGAATCTAAAAATGATTCGTTGTACTTTACCTGCTGAATCAGGCAGGCCTTGGACTTGTGTGCTTGACAGCTGCTTGCTGTGAATTTCCCATTTCTGGCATATCACAATACCCTCCATTATCACCAGGGGAGTTAAGCTGGACAAAAAGATATGTAGATCATAATGCCTTTTTCCTGCCATTGTGCATCAAAGAGAATACCAGCCCAAATACCATGTTCTGGGACTTCAGTCTGGCTGGAGGAGTAGCAGATCCCCTGTGTTCTGTGTACGAGGCTAAGCTGACAGGAAGTAGAGTTGGCATCTATATTCCATTATTTGAAAGATGCCTCTTGGCCCCAAATATGTCCCCTGCAAGGCTACCAGAACATCGCTGGTTGACCCTTTCAAACCCTCCCCACCTTGTCACCCCCAGGTTGGACAACAAGAGCATTGTCTCTAGAAGGTTCTTGTTAACATTTTCTTGTTTTCTGAGAAGGAAGGAAGAGTTAGAGTGAGAAGCTGGAAGGGATGTGAATTTTCCCCATACTCCTCCACTAGCCCATTACTGATGGCTAATTTATTAATTCTCCTAATTGTTCTCTTTGAAGACTGGCCTTCTAGAACAAATTGCCTGTTACAAAGAGGCAGTTGTGGGAATGCTGGACCAGAGCTATGTGCCTGAGAGGGTGGTGTAAAGTTCACTTAAGACAAGCTTCACAGCGTACAAGGTGGCCTGCTTGTTATTCTGCTCATCAGGTTCTACTTCTATTCAGTCAGCATTTACTACGTATGTCCCATGTACAAGTCTGGTAAGAGCTGCCACTCTCACCCGTGTCTTCCAATGCCTTCCTTTCTCAGATACCATGAGCAATTTGCATTTATAGGTTAAAAACTATTTGGGAAGACCGATTGAATTGGGTACCCCACTAGATTATAAATGTTACGAATACTCTTTCATCTTAGTATGCCCCCATAGAAATGAGAGGAATACTGGGAACAGAGTGAATGCCTCTTGAATGACCAGTCCAGGCCAGTCACAATTGGAATTTGTATATTGTGCCCAACAATTATAGGAAGGCCACCTTGATCCTCCACCCCTGGAAATTCACAGTGGAGGAGAGTCATTCTCATTAACTGTTATGCTATATACATTTCCAACGTCCATGTAACAACCTACTTGGCCTCTGTTACTCCTAATCTTTATAATATACCACCTCACCCCCACCTGCAGGCTCAGTTTCACTGGGACTCCAGGACCAACCCTATTCCTAGGTAGGCAAACATAAAGGGCTCCATATCTTCTCTGGCCTAACATATAAAACAGACTTCCAAACTTTACATCCCCAAAAAACATATGCAATCCTAGCTGTGGGTAATAGCCCCATATTTGCCCTTTGCCTAGACTGCTCTCCAGTAAAACCACTAAGCCCCTAGTACTCCAAATTCTTGCCTCTTTTATATTTTAATCTTCTTGCTTTGGGGCCATAGTTTCTATAAGCCCATGGTCTGACAAACTGTTTCAAGTCACTTCTGACCCTACTCTGACCTTAACCAATAGGTTCCAGCACTGGGATTTTCTTTATTCTTCCTTAATTCCCACCTTCTGCTTCAATCCCTGAAACTTAATGTGCATGTCTCCTTGGGCCTTAGACCTTCATTTAATTAGTCTTCCTGACTGTTGCCTGCTCCTCAAACCAGTCTGCATGACTGGATCTCAATTTCTAGACCCCCCCACCCTGGGTCTTCTCTGCCCAAATCTCTACCTAGTATATGATAATTGATTTCCCCCAAGTCATTTAGATAATTCCAGTAGCCCATGGCCATCTTCATTTCAATGTTCCCCCCAATTTAAACTCCAGTGAGAGACAATCAAGAACTCATGAATACATATATATTTATTTAATTCATAATATAGCATTTTGGATGGGCTGGGATATTTTAGAGGGATGAGGCTGTGTAATAATCTGCAGATGCTCAGATTTCTGTCACTAGAAGAGACGCTATTGGTCCAGAGCTCCCAGTACAAACAAGCCTGGGTTAAAATATTTGATAAAAAATAGTCCGACATTAGTCTAATAAATATTCTAGCCAACAACAACAACAGAGAATATGTCTGAAGATGGCCGACCAGACTGTAAAAGGCAGTTTTACCTGACCTGATGGCAGTCAACTGGCCAACCTGTAATAACACGGCCAAATACAGCCAATGGCTCTGAGGCTGCAATTGGCTTCAGGAATTGAAAGAAGCATGGGAGTGGTTCTTATCTGTCAGCCTCACATTCTCTATTCTGTAGAGGAAAGGGTATCAAATATTTGAGCTAATCAAAAAGTCCATCCATGGATTGCTCCATCCAGGTAGTCATATATAAATATGTAAACCATGGAAGCTTAGAAAATTCACCTAGTGTATTTTTAGCTGAAAAGAACATATAAGTGGTTTTGTTGAAATCTGAATTTCACTGCATCCAAAGTTACACAATGTGATTACATGATAAAAACACATACAGATGCAGGAATCCTTACAAGTAGTCACAACTCCAATGTGGCATTAAAATTTCTTTCATATTCTTAAAACAGGTTTAACTTTATTTTGATTATTTTTGTGCTTTCTTCAGTAAGACAATATAAAAAGTGGAAACAAGCATAAGTTGCAGACAGAAAGAATAATTTGCTAGCAGAAAGGATTGTAGGAGAATAGGTTGAGTAGGGCAACAACAATGAAAACTGAAGAAGTCACCTTCCTTGAAGATGTTAAATACAGGTCCTATTCCCTTTGTCCGACTGGGTTCAGCTAGAGGTAGTCAATGGCTTCTCTTATGGTCCCTAGCATTGCCATTATCTAGGAAAGCCTTGAAGTATCTGGGACTCACCACACCCCCACTGAATACTTTGCCACCATGTTGTTTCTTGAAAAGCACTTTCCGTTATTTGTCTCAGAAACTTCATTGCTTACCTCAAGCCCAGTTTAATTTCCTACATTATTCAGTAGGCTAACCTCTGAGTGATTTGGGGCTATAACCAAAACTTAAATCCATCTTCAAAGAATGAAGTTCAAAAAGACTGAAAAGTTTTTGCAAAGAATGGTGCCACATGCTCTAGACAATTCCCCAAGTTAACTTCCAAAGGGCTTTTGAGGCAGACAACACTCATTTATATGCATGAGTCCCGGGGCATTTGCAAAATAATATCAATATAGCCCAAATGGAGAAGTAACCAAGCTTTTCTGCCCAGGAAATAACAAACACCAGTATGGATATCAGACTACAACAGGGAAACTTTTGATAATTCATTCGTTCATTCATACATTCATTCAATAAACATTAGGCAGCTACTCTGTTCCACACACCATGCCAAGTATTAAAAATACAACAACAAAAGACACAGTCCCTGCCCTCAAGGTATTCACAGTCTAGTAGGGAAGATGATCATTATACATTAGACTTTTGTGTGCATCAGAATCACCTGGGAACTTGTTGAAAATGTCAAATTCCACCTATGTGCCCAAATAGTCTAATTAAGTAGATCAGGAGTGGGGTCTAGGAATAAACTGTTTTAACAAACACCAAAGGTGGCTCTAACAGGTGGCCTGAGGACCACACTGAAAAACACCGCTATACAGTGTGATTATTGCTGAGAAGGGAGGAACACTCAAAGGTGCCACAGAAGCTCAGAAGAGAACATGCCCCAGGCAAGGGCGTCAGGAGTTAATTTGGTTGAGAGGGGTCAGGGTGGGGAAAGGTAGTCTAGGCTAAAGTCAAAAATAAGGTGGGGGAAGTTGAAGCTTTGTCCCAGGCCACCAAAACCTAAAGGGCACAAAAAACAAATGAATAGCTTGGGAGAGCTGAGGATCAGGTAGAGGAAATTGGTCCAGGCGGAGGTGGAGTGCTCTGCATTTATAGCATCTTCACACTATTCCCTTAATTTAAGAACAATTCCTGTTTACTCTGGGCATCAAAACTGTCAATAATGTCTCCATTCCAGGCCCAGAGAACAACCCATGTGAGTAATTGACCTTGTCCAGAGTAACGACTGTAAGGAGGGAAATGGCAAAAGGTGAAGCTAGGAAAGCCAAGAGGGACCTGAAAAGCCAAACCCCATGTAAATGGGACCTTCTACTGAATGCTATGGGAGCCAGTGAGAGGTTTTAGGAAGGGGTGTGGGGAATAACTTGTGTTTAAAAACTGGGGGATAAGCCCTAGAGGAGAGACCAGAGTAACTTAGAGATGAAAGGCATACATTGTAAAGCACCACTACAGTGTAATGGGGCTGGGGCTGGGAAGAGGAGGTTAATATTCCTTGTGCACTTCACTAAATGCCAGGTGCTATGCTAGGCAGTTTACATGTGCTATCTTTTTAAATCTTTGCAACAGCCTTGTGAGGTAGGTATTATTTTACGGAAGAGGAAACAGAGGCTCAGAGAAGTGAAGTAACTTACCCTAGTCCCACAGCTAGTAAATGGCAGAAGAACTAGGATTATTTTAGTCCAAAGTGCTATTTCCCAGCACTACTGGATCTTACTGAGGTTGCTCATTTCCTAATCAGCAGAAATTACATACGGTTTTTTAAAACAAAAAAAGCGGACTTTGCTACCAGATGCCTAAGTTTGAGCCTGCCATCTGTACTTGCATCAGTCTTGCTTTCCATGTTAGGTGAAAAAAACAATACAAAGCTGTTATTTAGGGGGGTTATATAGATTATTTGTCTCTCCTACAGGATTGTAAGGCATTTGACAGCAAGGGACTGTGTTTTATCAATATATCCGGCAGCAGAGCGGTACCCAGCATGTGGTAGTTTGTTGAATGAATTAATGAATTAACATCCACCAAGATAGTGGAAAGGAAGAAGGGAGAAGTTTTGGCATTGTTTCAAGGCTCCAATCTGGTGGCTTGTTACAGCTACCATTTTGTACAAAAGTAGTCTTTTCACAGCTCCGAAGAAGTAGACTCCTTGAAGCCTGGAGACTCTTCTCCTGGGAAGGAGAAAGCTCTGGTTCTGACATCCCCAATCTCCGCAGTGGAAGTGACAAAAGCACAGACCATAAACTTGATGCCCCTCAACAACAGTGATGACAAACCGCATTTGCCATGAAGGGTTGGCTAAGCAGATGGATAGTGTAAACAAGATTGCAAGAGGAATGATTATTTAACCTGTTTAAGAAAACAGACTGTTCGCAGGCATTCTGAAGCACTTTGGAAGTGTTTTATCCGAAAATACAAGTGCCTTTATATGCAAATAGTTGTTGCAGCTATAACACTCCATTCTCACGGATTAAGTAAATAAAGTTCCTAAAGAACATCCATTATTATGCAACTCTTTTTTTAGCCTAATTCTAGTAACTGTATGTACTTCAGAGTAATAAAGCTATATTTCTTTGAGATATTCTGTAAAGAATTTTTAACAATTCAGATGACCCTCTTCCATTAGGCAGCCTCAGTGAAACTGCACTACACATAATGCTTGTATTGGATCAATTTTCTATCCAGCGCTAGTGGCTAATGTGCAGTCTTGTCCCCCAATCTTTCCTACTCCAGTTTAGAGCTCTTCCCACCATCTATGTCATTATTGCATATGTGTGTGACACGAAGGAGAATGGGAGGGATGAACGGAGAGGGGGGGAATTGTTGCCTGATTTCGATGTTCCCTTTAGGGGACAAAAATGGACGATATAATTTCTTTTCCCTTCCAGTATATTTCTCACTCAAACGAGCAAATAAAAAAATTATTATGTATATATAATTATAAAATGAATATATAATACATATTTATTCATTTTATGTATATTATATATACACATTTGTGTTTTTACTTTACAATAAATCCTTGATGGTAGGTTTTTATCAAAAACTACATATAATATGCGATCATCCGATCCTTCAAAATTCTACTTGGCCAAATTGACCAGTACTAGAGAGGCTGATACCCCACACACGCCTTTCCTGCTGGCTAGCCCCTCGTTCAGAGCATCTTTCTACATTATTTACTTAGAATTATCCTAATTCCTTCCAGTATCATTTACACTCCTAAATCATCAGGAAATTTGAATTCTCCAGTGGTGAGAAGTATTCTCTAGATTTCTCCTCCAATGGCTTGACCCCAGACTACTTGGAAAATTTGCTCAGAGAAACTCAACACATTAATTCAGATACAAGCTTTAGTGCACAAAAATTAAATCTATAATACCTAGTTATTTTGGATGCTTCAGATGAACTTTATTTTTTATCTTGTATATTGGACACTAACTGAGGTTTAGGAGGGGAAGAACCGCTGAACTGTAGACCCAGTGAATTCTATGCTCTCTTGAAACTTAATGGCAAGCTTTCATCCCAGAAACATAAGGGGATTCTTGAGGCCTACAGTTGCATTCCTGCCGCTCAGGGTAATCAATAAAATCTGGGGCAGGCAAACCAGACAGGATCATTAGGGATTTGTTCCAGATTGTAAATGTTGGACAAACTGGAAGAATGAAGGTCACATCAAAAGTATGAAGATGGAGAGAGTTAGCTGGGTCATAGAAAGACAGCATGTTGTTGTCATAATCCAGAAGGACACCCAGACGCTTCAACTGTGGGGGCACATCCACCAGCATTTCTTTGTTGTTATGTCTCACTACGAAGTTACTATTGCATCGAGAGAAGACCCATGAGGAGGCATTCTTGCCAATCCATTCATTCTTGGGAGCAGATTTGTAGGCAATGCCAATTGCATACCTGTGAGACAGTGGAAAGGAGAAAGAAATAAACATTCATTATTTGATCTGAGTTAGGGGCGCCTGGGTAGCTCAGTCGGTTAAGCGTCCGACTTCGGCTCAGGTCATGATCTCACAGTTTGTGGGTTCGAGCCCCGCTTCGGGCTCTGTGCTGGCAGCTCAGAGCCTGGACCCTGCTTTGGATTCTGTGTCTCCCTCTCTCTCTGCTCCTCCCCTGCTCATGCTCTGTCTCTCTCTCTCTCAAAAATAAATAAACACTAAAAAAAATTTTTAAAAATGATCTGAGTTATGCTAGATACCATATGGGATATACAAGAATATCCCATAGAAGCAGGTATCCTTAACTTCTTCATTTACTAAACAGTTTACATTTAGATCCATAATGTTGATAGCACTAGAGCTTTACAAAGTCAGCAATTAGAATGCTGTAGTAATTTCCAGCTGTGATCCCAGTATATTTCCCAAGATTTTTTTGTTTAAAGCTGGCCAATTTTTCTAGGAGTGGTTTTCATCACATCCCTTTTAACCTTGACATACTGGTACGACGTTTGTGCTATGGAACTGAATCTCCTAGGAACCTGACAGCAGGAGAAAGGAGAAGAAAAAAACTGTAAGTGGGATCCACTCACCATGTTGAGGAACCCATGACCACCTCCCAGTAGTGGCAGCCACTGTCAATGAATATATTTCCTGCTGCCCCATAGCACCCTGTGCCACTAAACCTCTCTGGGGTATGGCTCTTCTTCAGAGAGCTTTCATCCTTCTCCATCTGCAACCCATCATTGGAGATCTTCAACTTCTTGTGAGTCATTTTGGGATCTAGTTTAAAGGGTTGGCCTGAAAAAAGTAGAAAAAAATGCATAAGAAAATACTTAAGAATTCCATCTTCGTCCTTCAGGGCTATCACTACCAGGAGATTCTTGATATCATGCTCATTTGTGGGCCAGTGCAAGTTGGTGCTATTTGGATTATATTAAGGAAGTAGGCCTGAAGCCACCCTTTTCAATAACATAAGAATAAGCTGCCCCCCACTTCGTATGTTATCAAATTAAAAGGGTCTCATGTTCTCAAATGTGTTTTTTACTCTGCTTTATCTCAGTGGGTGATTTGGGATTTGAGTGGGGTTTAGGGGAAGGAGCATTTGAGGTGAGGCAAAGTGAGGGGAACTGATGAGGTGGTTGCTGGCAGAACAAAAAAACAAAAACAACTCAGTAATGACAATCTTTTTACCCTCTTACAATTGGGATGTAAATAACATATGATTAGGTAACTTTGTCAGAGTGACTGTTGCATCATCATCAACAATCAGAGAAAACATTTGTCATGTAGGATCACTCGCGACAGAGGATTCCTTATAACCATATGACAAAACAAGTTACTAGGAGCCAACTGCTGGATATGGCAAGAGCTGTATTATACAACATGGGTCTGCGGCTGACACTGCTGGCGAACACAACACCCATTCCCTACTTTTTCTCTGTGACCCACTTTCACTATAGAGGCCAAAAAAGCTAAATATTCAAGCTCCTAGCCTCTCTGGCTGCTAGGGGTGGCTAACAAGGTGGAAGCAGAGGGAAACAGAAGTCAGACAAGCTTGGGGACACTTCTGCAATGTGCCCGTTTTCCCAGTAAAAGGGATAGCCATCATGTGTACCAACCCCCTCCCCCTCTTCCTCTCTTAAAAGGAAATAAGACATCTGGAGGCTGAAATGGCCATACTGTGATCATGTGACAATAAGCCAGTACACAAAGGGAGGAGTTTGGATCTTTCACGACATCACAGAACGAGCTGCCGCACTAGTCCTGAACTGCCTACGTTCCAACTTCTTGCTGTGAGAAAGAGAAAAAAAAATACTATGTGTTAAGCTAAGTTAGTTGGATTTTCAGTCACCTGCATCCAGAAGCATTCCTAAGAGGTATGGCTTCTCTGCAGAAGGGTTCTACCAGCTCATCGCAAATTAGTACCGTTTGACACAACTGTTCCCCATGCATGGGATGGGGTGCAGAGAAAAAGCCTTGACTAACATCCTCCTCAAACACCAGCTACTACTACATATACTTTGTGTATATCTTTGTACTCACATATCCCCCAGGGGCACCATCGGAGCCCGTGCCCAAAGCATCAACTAAAATGGTAAACTCCTCTACCCAGTGCCTCTGCTCTCTGGCACTGCTGTGGGTACCTGCTCAGGCTAAATGTACTCCCTGGCATGGAGGGGAAAACGGATCTCTCCTTTTGGGAGCATCATAACATACTATTTGTTTTTAGTCGGGTAGGTTCACTGTTCCGGCTGCCTGCTTGGTTTATGGCTTTAACAATGAAGATGTAGCGCGTCCCACTCTGAAGTCCATGCACTGTGTAGTGGTTCTGTTTAATGTTGGGCACAATCATCCAGCTATCCACTGAATTATACAGGCCTGTAAGGTGGGGAAAGACAAGGACATTAACCGGCAGGTAGTAGAGATAGGATTAGAAGCACACTGAAAATTCATCAAAAGCTTCCCCCCCCCCACCCGCACCACCAAAGAAAGGTTAATTTCACTTTGTTTTCTTTTGAGTCCCAGGATGCACAGTGAGATAAATATCTTCTGTTTTGTTTCTCCCATGGAGCTAGGCTTATGCCAGGCAATTGAATGTCACCACTAGTGAAGTTTAGGTTGCTTCAATTTTCTGCGCAATAATATAGGAAAGGCCACTATACCAAAAAAAAAAAAAAAAAAAAAAAAATCACCGAATCACCACTTTTATGGAGTCTCTGGATCTTTACGCCAAAGGTCCAATCCCCTGAGAGCTGAGTCTAGCCTCATATGGGTGGAGCGGTCCTGTGCACAGCGCAGGAACATGGAATCTCAGAGCCAAAAGGACACCTACATGCCATGTTTCTGTCCTTTTACAAAGGGTAGCTAAGATTGAGAGAAGGTGACTTGCCCAAGGCCACAGAAAGATGGTGATGGCGCTGAGAGTGTAACCCTGGTTTCTTTAACCCTAGGCCAGTGTTCTCTCCGCTACGTCACAATTCATGGGGTAGACAGCAATGTTCCTTGGTCTCTGCAAGGTAGTGAAGCTTTCAGGGCTTATGGCTCATCTCACCCTCCCCATCCTCACCCTCACTTCCCAATCTAACTGGACTCTGAGGTATCATAGGGAAGCCAAGGAGATGGCATGATAACCAAAGCAAAATTGCCATCTCCCCACTTGGCACTACCCATCTTTTGCTCCTTCCTGGTTCCAATATTCATTCGAAGTTGGGTGGTCCAGGAACACATTGTTGCCTGGAACCTTCTTCCCTCCCAAGCTCAGAGATCTAGGTTTCTGCTTTCGAAACTCTTTAGACCATAAACATTGACTTAAACCAAGAAAAATGCACATAATTAAAAACATGTATTTGGCTAACTGTTAGTAGAAGAGGGGTTGACGTTCTGGTTTGTGAATTATCCAGGCTTCTCTCTTCTGTTACCTGTCTTTCAATCAGTTTATTGCTTTTTAACCACAATTCTAACAAAGCATGGACAGGAATGGGCAAGGAAAATGAACAGTGAATGTAGTCACTTCTATGCAGCCTTAGTGAAGGATTTAGTGAGGTTGAAAATGAAAAGTAATCATGAGTGGTTTGAAAGAGATCTGATCATGAGGGTTTTATAATTAATTTGGTGGATGGTTGAAAAAGTCTAAAATAAAACTAGAAAAAGAAGCATGAAGGAGGGAAAACACATATGTTAGAAAAAGAATAACTGGTGAAGACGCTCAGTTATGCTCAGGAAAAGACAATAAGGATAAGGGCCAGGAATAATGTTTGAGGGCCTGGTTAGCTATGTACCAATTCACAATATGAATCATAAACTGCACACTAGACTTTAATACAAAAAGGGAAATAAATGGTCTTCCAGATATACTTCTAACAATACAAAACAAAAAACAAATGCCACAATTAAGTACTATGTAGCTATGAAAAAAGACTGGAGTGGGGTGCCTGGGTGGCTCAGTCAGTTAAGCATCCGACTCTTAATTTCAGCTCATGTCATGATCTCACGGTTTGTAAGATCGAGCCTCACATCGGGCTCCATGATGACAGCGTGGAGCTGCTTGGGATTCTTTCTCTCCCTCTCTCTCTCTCTGCCCCTCCCCTGATCTAAATGAATAAATAAATTAATTAATTAAATAAGCTTAAAAAAAAGAATGAAGAAGAACTCTGTTAACTGATATGGAGTGATTTCCAGGGTTTACTGTTAACTGAAAAAACCAAATTGCAAAAGAGCATGCATGTATAGTACAACACTTTTTTTCCAAGGAAGAAGGGCAAATAAGGGAGCATACATATATCTGCTTGTTTACAAAACACCAATAACAATAGGAAGGAAAACCCAGAAAATATTGTAGTTGGTTAGCTACAAGGGATGGGGGAGGGCAGGGGATTAAAAAGATAGGGGTGAAAATGACACTTCTTTTTTTTTTTTAAATGTTTATTTTTGAGAGAGACAGACAGACAGAGTGCAAGCAGGGGAGGGGCAGAAAGAGAGGGAGACACAGAGCTCAAAGCAGGCTTCAGGCTCCGAGCTGTCAGCACAGAGCCCGACACAGGGTTTGAACTCACGAAACATGAGACTGTGAGATCATGCCCTGAGCCAAAGTCAGATGCTCAACCGACTGAGCCACCCAGGTGACCCAAGAATGACAATCCTTTGAATACACTTTTTTCTTGTATCGGTTTCCCTTTTGGAAACACACTGCTGTTTCACAAATTCAGAAAATTAAAATTAAATCAATATGAATGGGAAGAGCAGGGACTAAAACTGAAGGCAAACTGAAGCAAATGAACCCAAATGCATTTCAAATGAAAAACAACCACACCAAAAGGATGGGGGCAGGAGGAGAACTGAAAACAAATCCTGAACTATTGTTTGTTTTTGTAGTGGCGTGGACAAAGCACTTCTGGAACTGTTAGATCTATTATGGGATTAAGCAAATGAGTACATGTGTTGATGTTGTTGGGAGCCAAGGTTCTCATTGTGGAAGTAGGAATGTAAAAATATCAAATGGGGGAAGGCAACAAAGAATGTGTGGACATGGACTGGAATTGGAGGCATTGGTATGAACTCATGATTTCTATATATGTGTGTGTATATGGGCATCCATATGTGCACATATGTTAAGTACATGCATATGTACATTATGTGTGTGCACGTGCATATGTGCATGGGCATATGTGTGTATTTCTAGTATCCAGATCTTATTCTATAATAACATTCTCCAATTAAAAGGAACCAAGTTTCCTTAGAGAAATGGCTGATTTCAAGGCTGGGGCAGGATAAGATGAATACGACCTTAGAATCTTTTGTTATGCTAGAAAGTAAAGAAGTATTCAAGAAAATTATGGCAGAATATAAGAACCCAGGAGTAAGCTTCAAAGTCTTACTGGCTAAACCTGGACAACCTGAGCATCCAAATAAGCAAGGGCAGTGAAGAATTATAAACCATTATAAAGAGAATTCATGAGGCCATACTGATAAGTAGATAAATAGACAGAGGGTGGGGCTTTGGCTTACAGTAGAATGTAGAAGGTCAACTTGTAAAAGTGGGAGGGGATCCTCCTTTGGAAAATTATAATTTTGTAATCATCAGAGCAAAGACTGGACCAGGCAAGGAGTTTTGATTGGTGCTAAAACAGGAGTGGGGGTGAGATGGGTTTGATGAGGAAGCAAGACAGTTTCCTTGTTTCAAAGTTATCACCACACAGATTGCTCATTAGTTGCAAAAGGAAAAGCAGTAACTACAGGATGAAGAAATCAGGCAACACCTTTGACTCGCTGAACAAAATTAGCATCACCAACGAAGGGCGAGTGGACATGATGTGCCTCGAGATGTGATGTCCTAAGGAGGACACCCCTCCCATGTGGTATTCCAGCAATGAATTCATAGTCTGAATATAAATCATGAGGAAACTTCAGAGAAACCCAAAATAAGGGATAGTATAATAAAGAAATAAAAAGACATTTAAAAAATCTGTCAATGTCGTTAAAGACAAAGAAAGACTGACAAACTAAGTGTTCCAGATTAAAGGAGGCTACAGAGTGGTGCGTGGCTGGCTCAAATGGTGGAGTGCTAAGTCTCAGGGTTGTGAGTTTGAGCCCCACGTTGGGTGTACAGATTACTTAAAAATAAAATTTAGGGGAGCCTGGGTGGCTCAGTCAGTTAAATGTCTGACTTCGGCTCAGGTCATGGTCTCATGGTTCATGAGTTAGAATCCTGCATTGGGCTCCGTGCTGACAGCTCAGAGCCTGGAGCCTGCTTCGGATCCTGTGTCTCCCTCTCTCTCTGCCCCTCCCCAAATCATGCTCTGTCTCTCTCTCTCTCAAAAATAAACTTTAAAAAAATTTTAATAAAATTAAAAAAAATAAAGGAGGCTACAGATATGACATTAAATGCAATACCTGATCCTTGACTCTAAAGGACAATATTGGGTTCTTCACATTATAAAGGATACTATTGGGTCAACTGTCAAAATTGGAATATGAATAGTGGATCAGGAAAAGTACTGTATCAAATCTCTTAAAGTTGATAACTGTACTGTGGTTAGGTAAGAGTTTCCTTATTCTTACAAAACCTACACAGAAGAATTTAGGGGTAAAAGGTCATGATGTATGCAATTTACTCTCAAATGGTTCAGAAATATATAGAGAGAGATAGGGAATGCTAGCAAATGATAAAGGAAATGAAATAACATGTTGACAAGTGGATGTTGACAAGTGGATGAATCTGGGTAAAGAGTTTACAGGCATTCTTTGTGCTACTCTTACAACTTTTCTGTAATTTCAAAACCAGTTCTACATTTTAAAAAGGTAAATATAGGATTCTCTGGGTATCACCGAGACTTGGTGAGATGGGGTTTATGACTGAATTATGGTAATGGAAATATACACCTTGTTCCAAAGGGAAAGACCACAATATGGAAATCCATGAAGCCAAGTGTAAATGTGTAGTGGAGAACATTTGCATGGAAATGAAAAGGAGAGGAAATAGAAGTTTTATCTTTGTGGCAGTTTGTTACAGACTGCCTGGCCAGACAAAGTATAGCCAGTGCTTTCATAATGCAAATCACGAAACTGAAAAGGAGAAAAGATATACAGTAATGGGGAATACAGTCAGCTAAATATCTGTTTGAATTCAGCTAACAGCATCATCTGAAACATCATTGGCTTGTGACCATCCCAAATCTTAGATGAGGTGGGGAGATAATTAGAAATGAAGGGAGAAAGCTGAAAAAAAATAAGGGGACTATTTCTCCAGACAAAATACTAACCAACAAGGAAGACATTTCTGGTTAAAGAAAATGTGGAGTTGGACTATTTTAAGATTCCTCATATAAATGGTATCATGTAGTATTTGTCCTTCTGTGTCTGGCTTATTTCACTTAGCACAATGCCCTCCGGGTTCACGCATGTTGTCACACATGGCAGAATCTCCTTCTTTTTAAAGGCTGAATTATATTTTATTGTATGGATATACCACATTTTCTTTATCCATTGATCTGTTGATGGACAACTTTTTTGTATGTTGACTACATGTAAATAAAGTGGTCTAAGAAAAGAGAAAATGTGGAAAAACCTCGAGGGAAAAGCATCTCTCAGAGTCCAGGTTTAATCAACAGCAGCAGAACAGGGGCAGGCCAGACCAACAGGTAGGACTGAGACCTTGAATCTTCCTGAATATGTATTCCCAGTAAAATTGTTTCATTTTATCTGCCCATTGCCAGACAAAATTTTGCTCAGGGCTCTGCACTTGTCCCTGCCCTATCCCATTTTTCTATTTATGATTGGAAGAAGACATAGAAGGCAGGCTGGAAAGGCAGAAACTGGATTTAAAAGGATTTTGGCAGGTTCGAATGTGGAGTCACAGCTAACCAGACAAAATGTAATAGGGATGTACTCAAGGTGTTGTATTTCAGTTTATACAATCAACTGTATAGGAACAAGATTTTGAAATACCTAGGGATTTCAGCTGACTACATGCTCAGAAGTCAACACAGGCAATGTGACTACTGGAATAAAAAGGTTTGGGGCGGGGGTCATCAGCTAATGTATAAGACAAATAATCCAGCTAACCTCCGTGGTGGTCAGACCACTTCTGGAGTACTGTTTTCACTTTTTTGACAGCATGTTGTATAAAACACTCTGACAAACATGGGTGTATTCCTAAAAAGGATACCGTGATGGTAAAGGGTCTGAAACCAGGTCACATGAGGAGCGATTCAAAGACCTGAGGATATGTAAGCCTGGAAAAGAGAAAATTTAGAAGGGACATATATGAGAGCTACGTAAAATGATCTGAAGAACTGTCATGTGAGAGATGGATTAGGTTTACTAGTGAGGCATAAAGGGGCAAGACTAGGACAAATTGGTAGCTGTGGGTTTAATTCAAGAAAACATTAAGATTAAAGTCTGACAGGCTCGGGTTCAAATCTTGACTCCATCAGTTTGTAGCTCTGTGACCTTGGGCAACTCATTTATCTTGAACCTCAGCTTCTTCATCTATAAAACAGAATTAATATCAACTCTTTCATATGGTTAAGGAAGAACTCATGAAGACTAAGTGGGAGTGTTTGTAAATGACAAAGCATAATGCACATACACATTATCATTGTCATTAGTTACTAGGAGGGAGAGTTGGGCCTTTTCTAGGGACGCACTTACAATTATTTATAGCTGCACAACAACTGAATGAGTTATTTTGTTAGAAGTGAGCTACTCATCACTGGACATGTTCGAGTAGAGACAGGACAATCATCTACTGGGTGACTGGTAAAATTAAAGATTAGCTTAAATGACATCTAAGTTTCCTTCCAATTCTAAGGTGCTATAATCCTATTGTTATTAAGAATTGTCCATTAAGCTCTTCTTCATGGAGGACGATATATCTTTGAAAATAAGGAGGACAGCCTTTGGATCTTTGTCACTTCTTGGACTTATTTCTCAACTCCCAGGAGACCACCGCTCTCCCCATCTCAGGAAGGAGGAGCACAGTTGCTGGCTGTAAGCCATTCCAGAGCAGTAGAGACAAGTGCAGAAAAGCATGTCAGGGAGGCCTTAGAGTTTGTGACTCCACCACCTGGAAAAAATACCTAGGAATACAGCTACCCAGGCCAAGTGGCTTAGGTTGGAGCTGCACGAGGCAAGTGTTTTTAGAAATTTGACCCCCAATGTGTTCTCATCTCCCCACCCCAGCATGTGGCCCAGAATTGTCACACAACCAAAAAGGGAAGCCTATTGGGAGGGTTTCATTGGAAAAACTCCTCTCCCTGTGAAGTCAGACACAGAAGCACAAGCACAGAGGTCAAAGAAAATACTAATTTGCAGCTGTGTGGATGCAACCTTAGGGTGGGAATCTGTTCCAGCCTGGAATCCAGTTTTAATTCTGCTTTCCAGTTCTCCCCAGCACATGGAGGGGAACTTGCAGCTGGCCCCCTTCAGTCTGGCAATCGATGCGTCAGGTTTCTACTCTGCCATGTCTTGCTCCAATTCATCAGGAGGAGAAACCATAGAATGGGAGCCCAATGACTGCTTTTTGACCATCTTTCATCTTGCGGCCTGCTGACACATTTTTGTATTTGGTGTAATTCTTGGAGGAAAGGCACAAGGGGTACAGTGACAGAGGCAGGAGGCTTGTCGCTATAGTCGCCGATACAAATAGGTGCGTTAAAGGAAGTAGTAGTCTTTGAACATAGCATATTTTACCATGATAATGAAGTGGAAGAAGAGTCAAGGAGAGAGATGTTCACACACAGAGGATCAGCAATGATGGTGGCTTAGCTACCCAGGAATGAATTCTGAGCTGTGTTCTGACTGGGGAGAGTGGAGTGACATGAAGTAACTGAGGAAAGGCTTAAGGATTACATAAACAAATGGGAGTGGCCCCAGTGACTGCCCAGCAAGGAAATACACAACTTGCTTGTCACCCATCAATAAGGTCTTTGCAATGCACTGGGGGAGTTTGCACTGTCTACGAAACACTGTGCTAAACAACCTAACATGTCTTACAAACACTTGCCTCGTGGCGCCCCGGCCAATCTTGAGCAGCTTACTGCTTCCTTACATTTCCTTATCTCTGGCCACAGGCCCCAACTACACCATGACTTACTGATGAAGTTAGCCTGGCCAGTGAATATGGTGTACTGAAGCTCATAGGAGCTGATGCTGAACTCATCATCCGAGATCCAGTGGACTGTAATGGTGTCATGGGAGGCAGTACAGAGTTCCTCTCGGATAGATGGTGGGTTTGGGGCTGTAAGGAAAGGTGGAAAAGAAGGTAAAGGAAAGCACACTCTCCGTTCTGCAAGTTTAACAATTGTTACCCTCGCTGCCCAACTCTACACCTCATAGAGAGGAGGCTGTCTTAATAAGAAGCTTTAGATAGCATATCCTGAACAACCTGAAGCCAAGTGCTAAGACTTCAAATTTCCCCAAACCGCTTCTGCTTCAGTGACAGAGACATTTTAGGCAAAGATATAAGCCTAAGGTATTGAACTGATTGCCCGGATGTCTACTCTGCCTGTACCAACACATATGTAGATATTAGAGCAAAGTGGTCAAATGGTTTTCTTACTGCATGACCTTTGGCCTATTGCTTTTTATTTTCAAATAAGTTTTATTATAGACTGTTGGCAGTATAGCCAAGTGCAAATTAATATGAGTTGCTTCATCTGTAAAATAAGGGATGATAATTACCTCATAGATTGGTTGTACATATTTATAATATAAAATTAATATACAGTGTCTGGCATAAAGGAGATGTTCAGTAAATGACAGTTACTTTAATATATTAGCCAAAATAATGACAAATGCAAGGCTATTGTATGTGTATATTTTTCTCATGAAATGGTCATTCATTAATCCTGAAGGTATCCAGCATTTTTCATAGTCTGGATGCACCCCTCATTTCCTAGAATTGTGTGCAAGCCAGATATTTCTTACATTTTTCTTCCTAATCTGCTAGTTTCTAAATTTCCTTAAAACCATTTGAATGGTACCTATCGCTATGCAGGAGATTCTTTAATATTCCATAATTGCCACCTGAGTTCTAACTCCCTCAGTAACAAGCAACAATATATTACTGATAGGCTCTTAAGGAGAAATCCATCAGCAACGTCTTGCTTTTTCTTTACCTCTAAGTATAATGGTATACCCATGTGCCCCCAGAAATATTTCACACATCATCTCCTTTTCTGTTACGTGAACTAAAGTTTATTCTATCTAAAAAGATACATGAATTGTCTTAAAGTTTATAAAAGCATTTTCATTATAAATATTGCTCTTTTCCGATTATCTTAAAGTAAGAGAACACCAAAAGAAAAGCATTTAAACAGGAAGGAAACCACAGTATTTTCACACCTGTTAAATAATCTAGCCCCTCCAGCAGTTTCTTTTCTCTGGAAAAATCTAAAGCAAAGTTTTCAAAGGCATCGTTAAAATTGATGTCTGGAATCAGAACTTGAGAAGATGCTGTTGCCATAGCGACCCTGGAAAAGAGAAAAGTACATCAATATACATCAAAATAGGTGTGCAACCTTTATCCAGTGTTTGATTTCTGGTTCAACAAGAAGAAAATAAAGGACTCGTAGGGCTTGATTCATTAAGTGAAAAATATCATATCTATGCTTTTCCAGTGGGAACCATTTACATTTTAATCATCAGGAACCAATTAAGGGTTATACCATATTTATTCACATATGTTCACCCCTCAAATGCACTCCCCCATCCTGTCTTAATTTTGAGAAGTAAATACAGGATTTTTCCTCCTCTGCATCATTTTCCATCTGGCAGGCAGCATCAAAACTAGACCTCTGAAGGCTTGGTAAGAGCAGTTTGAGAGATTTTTTTTGCCTCCCCCTCTATTTTTTTATTTTTTTATGCTAATCAATAAGCCAGCATTCTGGGGCTGAATTACAGCCTTCACTTAAATACTGTACATTATTTGATCTTTTATAACATTTATGTTTAATTTTATTATTATTTATTATTATTATATAATGCTATGCTAGCTTTAACTCCCCAGCTAGTTTGATGCATCTCAAGAGCAGGTATTTTGTACCTCTTATATCTTCCACAGTTCATAACAGAGTATTGGACACATAGCAAATCAATAATTGTTGAGTGAATAGTGGAATGATTAACAGCAACACAGCTTCTAACATTTATTGAGCATTTAGTAGGTAGAAGAGACCATGCATGTACTTTACATACATTGATTAATTTACTTCTTACTATAATCCTGTGTAGTAAATGTTATTTCCATTTTGTACATGAAAAGGACACATAGAAAGGTTAAGTAACTTGCCCAAGGTCACACAACCAGGAAAAGTCAGAAAAAAAGAAATATAACTTAATCCATGTTCATCGGATTCTAAACTTTATACCCTGAACCAATTTAGACCATTTTTTTTAAATTAAGGTAAATTTTTATGTGCTTCAGCAATTCTTAACCATGACTACACATCATAATTATCTTGGGGGAGTTTTGACCAAAACATACATGTTGAGGCTCTGTGACAGACCCTCTGAATTGGAGCCAATGAAGATTCTTGAGCATGCAAATGACACAATGGAAAGAAACATGAACTTGGCAACAATACGCAGGTAGAATGAAGGGAAGAGGCACTGGATGTAAAAAGACCAGAGGGGAAACTTTTATGATGAATTAGTTGTAAGGGGTTGAGGAGTTAAACAAATATATATCCTCATGCACGTGTACCTTGCTATACTTCTGCCAACAATAGCTCTTGGTTGTTTGCGAAATAGATGTTTTAGGAATAAACTGCAGGCCAGCATAAACAAATGAAAGGCTAACCCAGTATAATCTTAAAGTCTCACTCTTTAGGCTACTCTTCCAGGGTTTGATGAGTAAGAAGAAAACAACCTCTTTAGGGCAAGAGTTAAGGTAGAAAATTGGCTCATGAAATTTATTCCTGACCTCCCCAATCTTCTTTCTTCCATCCATCCATCCATCCATCCATTCATCCATCCATGCAATACTTACTGAGCACAACTAATGTTCCAGGCACTGTGCTAGGCACTGGAGATACACAGCTGTGGTCCTTGCCTTCACAAAGTTCACAGTTCATAGAGGAGGAAGACATTAAATAGGCAATAGAAGTGCTGCTACAAAGGGAGTGTAACATACACAACATCCACCTGACAAGGACTTGGGCACTAAGGGACTCTCCCCAGAGGAAGTTTATGGTAAGCAATGACCTACATGATGAGTAGGAGTTAGGTAAGCAAAGACTACATGGATGTGTGTGTGTTCTCTCTTGCCTGAAGGCTGGAGAATTAGCAAAGTCACGCAGAGCCTTGTAGGTCATGTTACAAACTTTACACTTTACCCGGAGAGCAATGTGGGCCACTGAAGCCTTTTTAGGCAGAGTGATGCTCAAATTTATGTTTCAAGTAGAGTACTCTGGCTGCAGTAATGGACTGGAAGGGGTCAAAATTGGAGGCAGAGCAGATTTTAAGGTGATCAGAAAGGAAAGTAGTGACAAGAGTGTAGACAAATAAGACAGAAAATCAGTTCATACAACATGAAAATAAGTAGCCAACAAATATATTTAAAAGCCCAACTACTTAAGGAATCAAATAAATGTAAGATAAAATGAGATAGCATTTAAGATTATAACTAATGACAATATAGGAGCTTTTTATGCCTATATTAGGTAATGCCTCCATATTTTACCAGGACTGAAATTGACAACAAATTTTGAAGATCAATTTAGCATTAAATACCCAAATAGTTTAAAACGCAAATATTCTCTGACACCACAGTTTTACTTCATAAAGTTTTTACTAAGGAAATAATTGAGGTATATGCAAAGATGCAACTGTTTAAGGGCACGCAATACACTATATGTAACCTAATTGTCTAACCATGGGGACTGAACTAAGTAATGTGTTACTACACATCAAAAGATGAAATACTATGAGGTCACTGAAAATCAGGTTATATGATACTATCCAATGACAAGGGGACACCTGGCTGCCTCAGTTGAGCGTCTGACTTCGGCTCAGGTCACGATCTCACAGTTTGTGAGTTTGAGCCTGGCATCAGGCTTCACGCTGATGGTGCAGAGCCTGCTTGGGATTCTCTCTCTCCCTCTCTCTCTGCCCTTTCCCTCACTTGCATGCTCTCTCTCAAAATAAATGAATAAATGAATAAATAAATAAATAAATAAATAAATCCAATGACAGGGACAAGTTCATGATATATTGTTAAGTTTCAAATGTAGGGTATAATGAAGTATATACAACATGACCTTATGTTTGTGAAATACATATTAAATATAAATATTGGGATACTATACTCCCAAATATTAACAGTGGCTGGAAGGGTGAGTAAAAATGGCATTGGGGTATATGTAAGTGTGTGTCTGTTTGTGTTTCTATGTTTAATACTTTAAGCAAAACAACGTTACCTGTCTCTCAAGGCTCTGACCTCCATTAAGGACAATATAATAAGTGTCATTTGTAAGGGAGAAGGAATACTCTCCCAGCTAAAATTTGACTTTAACTGAAATCTTGGTCCTTAATATATTACAATTATTATTGGTGAGGAAGAATTTCAGACCCTATGAGAAACCATCGATGAAGATATTTAGGCTGGGCAGATAATTCTCAAGAGAGAAGAGAATGGCCTAAAACAAGAATCATAAAGAACACTAGCATTAAAGGAATAGGTCAAAGGAGATCTGCTCACAAAGGCAAAAGAAACCGCATAGGTAGGGAGGAAACCAGGAGTGTTTATGGAAGCTAAGGGCAGAGAAATTTAAGTAAAAATCGTCAGTAGGGACAAGTGCTACTGCGTGATTAAGTAAGATGAAACAGTATGGGAAGACAAAGGAATGTCTATTATATTTAGCAGCAAGGTATTCATTTGGTGACCTGGAAAAGAACACTTACAATAGTGTGGTAATGGCAGAAGATATTTTGGAGAATTGAAGGGTGAGCGAGGATGATTAAATACAGTGGTTTAAATTTATGTTCATCTCGGCTCTCATGAAATACTACTGAGATGACAGTCAAAGAATAAAATGTCATAAACCCACAAAAACAATGAGAATGGAAAAAGACATGCCAGCAAGTAAAAGACTGTCAACAAACGTTGGGAAGCTAGAAAGGGATGGATGAGTGGTACCCAACAACAGACCAGAGAAAGCTGGGTCAGGAAGCCAACAACAGCAAGCTGATGTTGTGCCACAGACAGTTGGAAGTTTGTATGAAGAGCAGCTAGACCCTGGATCCACTGAATCAGAGACTACTCCTTCCTTATCCTGGCAGGAAATGTGAGGTTTACTTTCCGCTGTACTAAAAGCAGTCTTAAAACCCCTAGCAACCTTTCCCTGCTTGGCTCCTAGAATGATAGCAGCCAGGCTTAGTTAGACCCCTCCCTCATCTCCCACCAGAAGCAGGAGATTGGTGGATTCCTTCCAGGGAAAACTGACCCACTGAAGACAAAACACCTACAGACCTAACACTGGGGTCCCCTCAGTCAAAATCTGGCATGCCACCTTATTATTCTACAGTGAAATTCACCAAGCAACAGACTGTTCCCCTCCCCTCGGATCTTCTAGTCATCTTCTAGTGCTTAAATTCAAACAGGAAGGCAAAAGATTATCAGACATTTAGGGAAAGTCAGAAAGTGAAACAAACTAATAGAGAAAAGGCACTTGGAGGAAACCAAAACAATGCAGAATTTAGAAGAAGCTTTTTAAATGTTCACTCATATCTCCAGGAAGATAAACAAGAAGCTTGCAACACAAAGCAAGGACAGAATGAAAAGAAAGAAGGAAAGAAAGAAAGAAAGAAAGAAAGAAAGAAAGAAAACAAGATCAAGAAAGAGCACTTATAAATGAAAATAGGAAGGCTGAAATTAAAATTTTATTTTTTTATGTTTATTTTTGGGAGAAAGAGAGACAGAGAGAGAAACAAAGCATGAGCAGGGGAGGGGCAGAGACAGAGACACAGAATCCAAACCAAGCTCCAGGCTCTGAGCTGTCTACACAGAGCCCGACGTGGGGCTCAAACAGCAACCTCAAGATCATGACCTGAGCCAAAGTCAGATGCTTAACCAACTGAGCCACCCAGGCACCCCTGAAGTTAAAATTTTAATAGAAGAATTGGATGAAAAATTAAGGAAACATCTTAGATAATAGAACAAGAAGACAATGTTGTAAAAAATAGTAAAGAAAAGGGGCACCTGGGTGGCACAGTCGGTTAAGTGTCTGACTTTGGCTCAGGTCAAGATCTCACAGTTTATGCATTCAAGCCCCACATCAGGCTCTGTGCTGATAGCTTGGAGCCTGGAGCCTGCTTCAAATTCTGTGTCTCCCACTCTCTCTGCCCCTCCCCAACTTATGCATGTGCGCTCTCTCTCGCTCTCTCTCTTGCTCTCTCTCTAGCTCTCTCTCTCAAATAAATAAATTAACATTTTTTAAAAATAGAAAATATTTTAAAGCAGACAATCTAGAGT